ATATCAAAATCAGTAACATTTTAGTTTTTTAAATGTATCTAGTGAAAACAAATTAATTCTATATTTGTCATAAAAGTAAATTCAAGGCGATATTAGTAAAATGGCAGTATCTACTTAAGAGATATCTATAACGCGGTTTAGACATAATGTATGACCTACAATAAAGTCGTTTTTGGATGCGCAGCAAGAATTACTGTTAATTATATAGCACATACAATACTAAATTTTTAAGCGCCTCGAGTTTGATTCATATTTCTAATACTTTTTCAGTGTGAAACAAAAGTTAAATTTATGAAATTTGATTTTTTTTTAGTAATAAGATTATGCTAATATTACTAATGATTAAAATCTTTAATTAACATTGGTTTTGTCTTAAATACTAGTAAAACCGACAGTAGATTTAGCTTTAAAACTGTCTTAGGTTTTTGTTAAATATGGCAGCTATTCAGAGGTATTAGAAAGTTATTTTAAGACTGAATCATAATTATAAAATATTATTGTAGTAAAAACAGCTGTAATACAATAATTAAGTTGTACTACTCATTTCTACAAAACAAGTTCATCATGGTTTGTTGTATAATAGTTTCATATTGCTGCACTATATGACAAAATATAACATAACCTTACTAAATCGTTTCCAATTTAAGTATTTGGGAATTGAAATGATTAGATTTGTTTCTACAGCTTTATAGAGCAAGCATAATTTTTAATATTACGAGAATAAGCAAATTTAACATGGACATCGCCAAAATATGGCTTTCTTTTAGTATTGGGGCATGATTATTCAGAACATACCTAATTATTATCTGGCTAAATGATAGTTTTTTTTTTTGAGTGTCTAGACAAACCATCAAAATGTTTTACTAATATTTTTTACTGTTCTCTGAAAAGCAGGTACCACTTATTTTTTATATTTCTTCACTATTTAAATCTGACATTTTCAGACCATACACTTATATACAATTGGTATGGGAAGTAGTCGAACAAACATAAAATACAAAAATAATATGGCGTAGGTACTACCAAATGTAGTTGCTTTATTTTTTTTATAAATATTTTTAAAGGGATAATACTATTCTTAACTAAAATAATTGCTATACATTTTTTTGATTTGTAATAGTGTATTTCGACAATATATTACAGTTATTTTAGAGTTTTCATCAGAAGCAAATTGCTATTGATGCGGAATTATCTCACACTAATATTTATATAACTATTTTTTAAAGCGTTATTATGAGGTTAAGAAACAGTTATATTTGTATGACCAAAAAGTTCTAAAGGTAATCCAGAACAATAATATAGAATAACTATAAAGCAATTTTATTTTATAAGCTGAAATATTGTATAGAACAGTTGTATAAATGTTTATGTAACAATTTCATAGTTATCGTGAAAACTATTTTATAATTTTGCTGTAAGAATATTGTAAAAACTAATTTTTTATAACTATTTAGTTTCAGAGAACAAAATAGTGATTTCTGCAACTGTAGTACAATAAATTAGCATTCCAGAAACAACAATATAATATCAATAAAATATAATAGTCTTGTAAACTAAAAATTATAAAGCTACTTTGTTAGTTGGGTATTTATAGTCATAAAGCTGTGAATAAGCAAAATTTTGATTTAATTTTTTAAATCACACTCGTTATACAGAATTTTTGAGAAATTTAAGCAAATTTAGACAACTGTTTAATCTGTTTAACCTGTTTAATCAAATTGCAATCAAATTTATATCTACGTAAGACTTTATTTGGTCTATTTACATAAATTTAATCAATTGAAAAACATAAAAACATTTTGAATTAAAAAAGTGATGCCCCAAAATTTCGGCAACACATTATACATTATACAAAATATTGTATTCGAACATTTTCTTAACTTTATCTATGAATATGGGGTCTATTCTGTAACAATTCCTTTATATTTAACGGCCTTTAAAAATATTGGCGGCCTATAAAAATATGTTCGTATTCGTTAATTTACATCTATCATTATTTAAACAGATTTCTTTAATATAGTCCTCTGGTGTGTTGATTAATTGTTTGAGATTGTTATTGGCCATATTGGCGACTGTCCTTTTTTTTGTTATTAGCTAAATCTGTCAGTTGACTAATAATTGTTTGAAATTGTTACTGGCGATATTGGTGGTATTCATTTAAAACACCGTCATCCTGTACAGGCAAATAATTGTATGTAGCCGATAGAAATGTTAATTTCGGGTTTAAAAAAAAAAATGCCACTATAAAGCTTATTGTTTTAAAAAGAAACTCATCTAGCTCTCGAATAAATTATATTATTTATTGATTTTGATAGTTTTTTTTTAACAAATTTATAATTGAACAATCTCATAGATACCGGAGAGAAATGTAGATTGGCAATTGTAATTTAGAGCACTGATAACGTTAAAAGGTGTACGCAACGTAACTTTTAAAAAATAGTAAAATAAGAAATGAATGCAATGGTATAGGTTCCAAAACTTGTTTTTATGATGTGGACAATTTAGCAGTGGTCTACTACGCTATTTTGTAGTCGTTAAATTTTTAAGTTTGGTAGAAATTAGATGAGAAAAAAAATGTTTCCTTCATTGGAAGGAATTTGTATTGTCTCTGTCAGTGGCCGGTTGAGAGAGGCTTGGAAAAACAAAACGCGGAGAGACTTGGACATTTGTTGTTGGGTTTGTTTAAGTTTGGAAATAATTATTCAACAATATATGGCACTGAGTTAAAGGTAAAGCTGTCTAGTGACCAAGTCATTGATTATCACACGTACTGTTTGTCGGCAACGAGAAGAGAAGGTAAGTGTTCCTTTTTATGCAATTTCTGTTAAGCTGTGATTTGATATGACAGGTACCCACGGATGGTTTTAAACTCGTTTTATTCATTGTCAATGCTTTTAACAGATATGTGGTTCTACACCCTTAAAAAATTAACCGTGGAACAAATTTTACCGTTAAAAAAATCCTTATTCGTAAATATAGATATTAGGCGTCATTAAATTATATCAGGGGCCCTAATGGGAAAATTTGTCAGAATGGACGAGCGCTCTTTCCAAATTACAATTAACTGTTAATTCTTCCATTCGGAAAATTAAGTACAGGTCAGGTTAATGTGTTTTCATGTTTTCATGTTACCAGAAAGTCAAGTACAGGTCAGGTTAATCCCTGAGGAGTACCTATGAACTTAACGATGTATTCATGTCACCAGAAAGTCAAGTACAGGTCACGTTAATCCCTGAGGAGTACTTCTGAACTTCTCTACTGTTTTTATTTAGTAACAAAGTTAAGTAAGTTAAGTACAGGTCAATTAAATATCTGAGGAGTACATCTGAACTTCCATTTAAAGCTTCTGCTTTTGTGAGTAAAAAAAAGTTAAGTGAAATATTTGAGGAAGAGTACCTCTGAACTTTAATTTAAGTTTTTTTTGTGATTAAAGAAAGAAAGTATAGGTCAGCCAAATATCTGAGGAGTACCTCTGAACTTATTGCTTTTATTTTGTCTAATTAGCACAAATTTAATGAAATCTTTTGAAATATTGAATATAGTACAATTGTTACCATCGTGCAAGCTTTATGTTTTATAAATGTGATCTGGTAAATGGTATGAGGAATCCGAGGATTCACAATCACAGAAAAAAATCGGTAAGTTGTACTGTCCTGGATGGGCGGTGTTAGCAAGTAATTTTTTTGTTTTTGGTTTTTCCTTTATGTTTTGTTACCTAAATAATATATTAACTGCCCGAGACCTACTAGATGACTTGCTTTTTAACCACGCGATGGCAGGTGGTAAGCATTTCGTGACTAGTAGAGTGAAAAATGCTGGACGGATATTGTTGAAATCCGAGGAGCATAGTTTTTATTTTGAAATTATTTTAAACATATTAATTGAAAAATGTCGAACGGATATTGCTGATATCCAAAGAGCAGATTGTGTTTTAAATTATTTTAAAATCTTGAATAAAGTGTTATAAATTATAAGACATGGGGTGTTGTGTCACTTATTTAAAAATGCAAGATTTTGCCTCGTCTCAGAATGTGACGAGAGGATGAACAGGAAACTTTTTCGAAATAATAAGCGTGGAAAGAATTTGGCGGCTGATCTTGTAATTTTGTTATTTTTACTTGAGACGTCTTTTCTTTTTGTTTAATATTTTTATAATTTAAAATAATACAAATTAATAACCAGTCGTTGTAAAAAGAAGAGAATATTTCGAGAGCGAAATATAGATCAGTTTGGTCGTGTTAGCAGGTAAACAAATTTTTGTGTGATTACTCATTGTAATATAATGTAAAGAACATTAGCAGTCAAGATCAGGGAGGGCGGGGAAAATAATGACGATAGTAGTGAACCGTCGTCTGCATTCTTCCAGGCGGTAGAACGAAATGGGTCGCGTTAAGTGCTAGAGTAAAATCAAGCTGTTAGTTGATGCTCACGCATTATTCTATTTGACTTAATTAATTATAATTGTTATTATATATGTATAATTTAATTTTTTTACTAAGTTCTAGTTAAACTGTATGTTTGTTCGTCAGTGTGATATGTTCACTTATTGTTAGAATTATTGGGGAGTGTTCAGCAGATATTAGTTTTTTAACATCTTTTATCTCTATAAAATTTGCAAGCCAGCAATGAATCCAAATAACGCGTTCATCACAATACAACTTATAGATTTATAGATTTATAACAGTCGAATAAAGAAATAATGACCTGGCAGCTATACTAGTTTAAAATTTTAAACATGCCAAAAACACTATTAAAATTAACATGCTTCTACCAAGTTGCAATTTAAATAATTCAGTTCAATTTACATATATAGTGTTTAAATAATAAAAAAAAATGTTGGCTGCAATTACTTATCAGGTGACGTTAAAGATATTACTAGAATGGTATTTTATAACGTGTCTCTATAAGGCTGGAACTTTCTTTCTCTATGTGGAAATATCTCAAAATCCACTATAAAATTTGAACTTTTCGAAATCATGATACAGAGTAAAACAAATTAAAAATATTAAGAATATTTATTAATAAACTCTTTTACACTTGCAATAAAAAAGAACAAAAAAATAATGGTAACATCATACATAAACAATTAAAATTTACCCTTTATTATATACATTAAATGTAAAAAGGAGAATATACATCTAGAAATATACTGAGAATTTTTTGAGACCCATTTTAAAGCTTTGAATCATTAATAATGGTTATGAGTGGTACTGTCATGACAGAATTAAGAAGTATTACAAAACTGATTCGCATAGTATATTCGGCACATGTCATAAATGCTGGAAACAACTATATCATCTCGATGATAATATTAAAGATACAAAGGACCTCTTAAAAGATATTTTATGCATATTAGATTATATCAAATTGTGAGCTAACTAATTAATATAATTATTCTACCTAATCTATGGTGAGTTGTCTGAAGCTACCATCCAGTCCAAAAAGATCTTCATGGTCCTTAGGTTTCCCAGGTCTTCTTGATTCATCAGCTTTGATATTTTCTTGTTGTTTGAACCATGGAGTATATTCCTTGAGTTTTTCCATCCACTGATCTACAATACAACGAAATAATTAATGGTGATTAAATGCTACAAAATATTAAAGACTTTTGAATAAAAACGAGACTCAACGGCCAACGAAAAATTCCTAAGAGATAGGCAACTAAACAATGAAGCTTTGCTGATAATGTCACTGATTAATACAGGGGATTTAAGATCATGTAGGTTCTGGAACAATATCCTTTCAAACAAATATTCTTGTTCTTAATACAAATCTTTAATGAATAAGCTTGTTACTAACTATGGAAAAGAGACAGAATTTACAATGGTTTTATTACCTATGCCAGATTACCAACTATGTGGCCAATATGGCGATCTCTGAAATATCAGCGGCACTAGTTTGAAACTATATGAATACCCTTGATCGGGGACAGGAACAAAGTTACTTTTACATGGGTTCAGAAACACAGTGATGTAGAGGGAAATGAAAAATAGGAACCGAATCTGAGTTGATATGACCAGCACCTTTACTGGGTATTGCAAGGAATTATCTCCAAATGGCCAGAAGGTTTAACACTTCTCAAATCCGGAAATAAAGTAAGAGATTTAAACAAACCAAAAAGGTTATAAGGAAGAAATAGTTAAAAAGAAAATTAAATAGGTGTTTTTGTTACTAGGGAGTGTCTAATTTGGACAGATTCACGGTATAAATATATAGCCCATCGTTACCATGACATTATTACTAGAATACTTACCATGGAAAGTTTGTAATTTTCCAGCTGTACCCTCATATTCTTCTGGCAAAATTTCCTTTGGTATGAACTGATGCAAAGAGGCAAACGAAGAGTGAACGTGAATACGTTCCCTAATTTTTTCTTTTAGGAACGGTTTGATCCAAGTGATTATTTTGTCCACTAATGGAGATACGTTAACCACGTGCACTTCTTTTAGTTTCACAGGATAAGCTTCCTAAAAATTTATATAGTAAGTAGTTTACTTTTTATTTTATTGATAGTTTATATAATCTAATGTTTATAGCTCTTTACTCGTTGATCTAAACAAGTATAAGTAGATATAAAGACATTTCACTCTATTTTCCGATTTTTTCTCCAGTCCCAGCACTGCAACGCACCATTATAAGTGGTTTTCAATATATCCCTAGAAATATGCTTAATAATGACAACATTAAAGGAAAAGAAAAACTCTTAATCACTAAATTAATTTTGTGGTTAGGACTTAGAATTTTTATTTTCCTTTACGAATATACCACATTTAAGATATCAATAACATTCTCACTCTTAATGTCTTAATCATGAATAGAGGACTTCTATACAAGGGAAGTGCAACTAACTTAACACATTTTTTTGACACTAATGACATAAGAAATCGGGTCACATAAAGAGGCTGTCTTTTTTTTGGTTAAATTTTTGGTAAAAAAGACTTTATTTTAGGGTATTTTACATTTAAAGGTTGAAAACATTTGTCAATATCAGCTGTCGATAATGTCAAAACATAAGCGTAGCATTGCATTTTATTTTTTGTTGTTAATAGTCTATTTGTGTTTCTCCCGCATCCTTGAAACATTCTTTTTTCATTTGATTTTATTTATTTATGTCGATTGCAAAATGCTGCTGCTACCTACGAATACAAGTTCTATACAATATACAACTAACATACATTACTAGTTCCGTTATGTCCATCTATGATTACGCCTGTATTCTACCATCAACATAATGGACAGCTGACAATGACAAAATGTTTCAACCTTTAAATGTGAAATACCCTAAACTAAAAAGTCTCTTTCACGTTACGGGTACAACAAGGTATGCAAATGGCATGAAAGTAGATCGGAAAAACCAAAAAGCAAACTTAAAAATAGCCTCTTTATGTGACCCGATTTCTTATGTCATTAGTGTCAATTTTATGTTGTCAAGTTGGTTGCACTTCCCTTGTATAGAAGTCCTCTATAAAGAAGTGCTTGTAAACAATTCTACGCACATACTTCTTTTACTATACGGATAATGGTCGCACTGCGCAGCTTTCTGAGTGCCTTTTAAAAGGAGATAGGAAACTCCGCCATTTTGATCCCTTATTACGTGTTGCCTACATCTTGACGCAATATTTTTAATAGTTGCGTTTTAATCATCCGCTTCTGCTTCGGAATTGTCGGTTTTCTTGTTTTAATCTGACAGGTTAGAACGACTGAACCGACAATTCCGGAAGCAGAAGCGGATGGTTAAAACGCACCTGAAATTTTGCTTGCTGCTGTCAGTGTCAGTCACATACTTTGATTTTCTTTTACTAAGCGGAGAATGGTTGCACTGCGCAGCTTTCTGAGTGCCTTTAAAAGGAGATAGAAAACTCCGCCATTTTGAACCCTTATTACGTGTTGCCTACATCTTGGCGCAATATTTTTAATAGTTGCGTTTTAATCATCCACTTCTGCTTCGGAATTGTCGGTTTTCTTGTTTTAATCTGACAGGTTAGAACGACTGAACCGACAATTCCGGAAGCAGAAGCGGATGGTTAAAACGCACCTGATATTTTGCTTGCTGCTGTCAGTGTCAGTGAATATTATTTTTGGAGTCACAGTTTATTGTAAAAGAATCAGTTAGCTTACTCGGACTCGGACCAGAAGACTGCTGTTTTATTATAGGCGGTTGTCATATATTGTATTATCTGAGTTGCGCAGTGTATAAACTGGAACATTGAGATAAAAAGTGCTGACGCAGAGTGAGCGATCTGATTCTTTAGCTATAAACTGTGTCATAGGGTTCAAAATGGCCGCGCCCTATGTTGAGCGTGTCGGACCTCTCTCTTGTCCCGTATAGTAATCAAAGTATGTGGTGGCAATGAATATTATTTTTGGAGTCACAGTTTATTGCCAAAGAATCAGTTAGCTCACTCGGACCAGTTGAAAGTTCCAAAATAACATCCACTCCAGGGATACAAATTCAGGATACGCAGAAGACTGCTTTTTATTATAGGCGGTTGTCATATATTGTATTATCTGAGTTGCGCAGTGTATAAACTGCAACATTGAGATAAAAAGGGCCGACGCAGAGTGAGCGATCTGATTATTTAGCTATAAACTGTGTCATAGGGTTCAAAATGGCCGCGTCCTATGTTGGGCGTGTCGGACCTCTCTCTTGCCCCGTATAGTAATCAAAGTATGTGACTGGGGTCTATCCATGATTTTGACAAACCTAGTGTTACAGTGTTGCCATTATTTAGCATTACTATAGGAGCACCTACAAGGGAGCGTCGCAGTGTGACGTTGCCACTTCTACTCAACGTTCTTCTCCAGATCCGGGGAAAAATTAAAAACTAAAAAAGTTGAGTGAAGTGTCTTCCTATCCACTGGTATGTTAATAAAATTTCTCACTTGGATAATAATTAAAAATTTCCGAATTAGGTTCGGATTAATTTTGGAAAAGTGTGTAGCCGTAGCGACGGTAGCGTCCAAGATGTAGACATCGCCAGCTACGCCAACTTCTTCAGCTTCTAATCGGACGTCTCCGATCATAAGAACCACTTTCATAATATCGGCTACGTTGTAGTTGTCGACGTCTACTCTTTTGGATCTGAGCACAACTACTCTTCTGCCGTTTGGTGTTAATCCTGGTAAAGGCGGCATGTGTCTAAAATTAAAAAAAAAAAAGAAATAAGTTAAAACTCTTCATTAATAACTAAATCGATAGTATTTTAAAATAGTAAACATTGTAGAACAAAATAATATTAAAAGTTAAAAGTGCTTTTGTAAAGTCACTTTTGTTTTTAAAATGCGACATATTTGTACTAAACTAAAGAACAATAAAATAACATTAAATTAAACATGGCAAAGTCGAACAAACGAAGACAAAGAACAAAAAAACTCTTATATAGGTTAGGATTATTTACTATGAAACCAGAAATGGAATAGAAACATACCAAGGGGTATATTCTGTAACAATTCCTTTATATTTAACGGCCTTTAAAAATATTGGCGGCCTTTAAAAATATGTTCGTATTCGTTAATTTACTTCTGTCATTATTTAAACAGATTTCTTTAAGATAGTCCTCTAATGTATTTTAAAGATCCGTTTAAATAATGACAGAAGTAAAGAAGAAAATATTTTTAAAGGCCGTTAAATATAAAGGAATTGTTACAGAATAGACCCCCAAGACTGCGAAACTCATCCTTTATTTGATTACTTTTAAATAACTATTACAAAAAACACGATATCGGCAAAATATATAAATACAGGGTGTCCCATTAGTATGTAGAAATCCAATAACTATATAGGTTGTTTTTAAAAATACGAGAAAATGTTAAATATAAAAGTTTTACGGTTATGAGAGGCGCCTATTAAAAAAATGTTTTCTAATATACAGGATGCCTCCAAAAAGCAGGGCAACATAAAACTGATTTTTACACTCTGTATTTTATTTTTTTCTTTAATTCTACTAAAAAATCTAAGTATTTTTATCTAGAAATTATATGTATGTTTAAATTCAATCTTTTGACATTCGAAAATTGACTTTTTAATACTTTGACAAGCTGTAGCACCCAAAAGCTTGAAGTTAGAGTCTAACGGTTTACATGTTCCTCTCTAAGTTTTTCATATTCTATCCAGATATACGAACTTTTGGATAAATTGAATATAAAAAATCTAAGTTCCGGTTAAACAGAAAATGGGTTATTTTATTACATATTTGTATAAAGTATAAAAAAAAACTAAGATAGGGACATGCAATATGTTTTACCTTGATTTCAACCGTATAGGTGCTACAGCTTGTCAAAGTGTGAAAAAGTTAATTTTCGAATGTCAAAAGCTTGAAAATCATTAAATTTATACAATATGGTGTTTTAGACAAAAATACTTAGATTTTTTAATAGAATTCAAAAATAAAATAAAATACTTTTAAGGTGTGTGAACGTATTAAAACGTGATCCGACAAAAATTGAGTTTTACGGGGCACTGCAACATAATTTTGCATGTGAGTTTACAATCATATTGTTTTATCAACTTTCCCAAAATAATTCCTCTTTATAAAAGTACTGCAGCCTGCAAGTAGCACTTTTCTCTAAAATCAATTATTGTCGGCGTGTGTCTGTATACTCGATATCTCATGAAAGGACACAAAAAAAACGCCAACTTTTAAACTTATGCTTTATTCCGGCCTGCGGTAATCCAGTTAGATTTTGGGCAGAGTCGGAACATCTGGGGGGGTACTTTATAGAAGGTCGTTTTTATATTTTATGGAATGTATCTGTTATTTACGTTTGGAGAAGAAAATTCTTAAGAGAAAAATTACTTCTAATATTGTTCTCTATAATATTGGATCATACAAAATTTTCTTAAAATTGTCAGTATTTGAGAATGTGCAAAATTCTAAATTTTAAGAAAATTGTTTAGCTTAAAGTTGTTTGCGATATCGATCTCTATAATTTCTGTATTATACATGATTTCTCTAAAATGGACCGTAATGGAAAAATTTTAGAAAAAGTGTCAAATTTAAATTTTTCAGTATTTTCGTTATCAATGATAATATATAAAAAAATGTTTCGAGCAAGATGTATGTGGAAAATGCATATATTTAGTTTATCTTCTAAACATTTACAGTGGTGATATAATAGAATGTACAAAATAACCGGGAAAAGCCTGTAATAACTAGATAGGAAAGTCATGTGTTGGACACGTCAGATTTTTTGCTATATGATATCGTCCAGCCCAACAGTTCAAGTTAGAAATGGGATACTCGAGCTAAGTAACAGCGAATTATACACAAAGCTTCTAGAGGTCATCAATACTGAAATTAATAAATTATCATTGTACATTAAGAAAGTAAATTTAGATAAACTTGATAGCAACACAAATAAAGTCTTAAATCTTGAAGTTAAATAACAAGTATTAGATACTCGATTTCTAAATTAGGAAAGGGTATTTAGACGTAATAATAGCTTCATCTACGGTATTGAAGTCTCAGATTTTAAAATGTGCTTCAATTTATTAGAACAAACCTGCAGAACTGCTTCAAGTAAAAATTGTTTTCGCCGACGCTGTTAAAGTGGAATTTAAAATTTCTTCAAAAAGAAAGAACTACTTCGTAACTGCAACGAACTTAAAGGACAAAACATCTCTATAGTTCAAGATCTTTGCAAAGAGGGCAGGAAAACTCAAACATTTCTTATAAAACACCTTAAAGTTGCAATAATCTAAAATAAATCCGCAAAAATTAAAAACTGAAACCTAATAGTTGATGGAGGGAGTGCACTATTCTGCCCAACAACTGAAATATATTCAAGAGAACATAGCAAGAGTTGGAGGCTCTGCAGCCAGAGCAGTTTTAAACAGGGTGCGGAGCACCCATAGCACAACAAGGACAAAAAGTGTCAATAAGTAAAATGAATAAGCTGTCGTGGACCAAGTTGGTATAGCGACAGATGCCTCAATAAAATATTATCGTTCGGAGCTGTAATTTTTGTGATAAAAAAGTCACCGTGACTTGTCATAGACAAGGCGACTTAAGGGTTTATTATTCTTGGCGTATAAAACCCTATGACGTCAAAAAAGAAAGATTAATAACGGTCTACAATTATCAAGACAAGATCTTTGTACATATGCCATTGAGCAAATGCTTGAGGGGAAAAGGGAGAACATTTGAAAGTTGCTCCTGATCAAGCACCGTTAGAAGCACCATTTAGAATTAGAAACAGCTCTCTAGTATTGCTCGCGAGAAACCAGGTCATCTAGTAAAAAACACTTGGACTCGTCAATTTTGGTTTTTAGGAAGAAACATTATTTTGGTAGTTTCACTCCTTGAGCGGAAACCCTCACCAGTTATATCTTAAATGGAAAGATTGGTCGAATGATATGTTATTTTAAAGATATTTTCCCTAGATAATAACCCTCAAGTTTTACATCGCTACTATCTATGTAGCTTATTCAGTAACTCACCAAAAGTACATACACGGTTTAACATAATTTTTACATTATTTAAAAAAAAATAATTCTTTGTAACAATTCTACTTTAATTCCTGTGGCTTTCAATTATTGTTATCAGATGACATTCTTTGGTCGCCATAAAGTAAAGGTTTAGTTGTAGAATCGGCATAAAAGTGGCATATCAGTGATAATGGTTTACTCTATTGCTGAGAGGGTGCAAATAATTTCACTTTTTTTGCGAACAATGAATGTGCTAATAGAATTGCCTAACTGTTTACAATATTAAATTTGAAACTACATTTTGGAGTCAGTCCAAACATTGTTAAAAACGGGGTCAGTAGATAACAAATACCGGGAAATGAAAAATTCTGTAGTAAATGAAGCCACAGAGGTGGCGGATTTTAGAACATGTTGTTTAAGAACCCATATTGAGTACAATACAGTTGGCGATAACATCTGGTATTAAGAGACGTAGCATTCAAAAGATTATAAAAAAAAATACAATTTTGTGAAATTATGACTGAACGGGCATTAAATCATCAGCAATTTCTTTTCAACGTGTGCTATTCAGACAATGCACTTTTTTTCTAAATAATAATAATAATAATAATAATACTCTCCATAATTCACCCCCTTACAAGTGAATTTTAACCCCAAAATCTGAGCTTGTACGGGGAAAGGGACGGCTATTATTATTATTATTATTATTATTTGCCGTGGCGCTCCGGGGCGACTTAAAGATGAATAATGGTGCCATTTGACTTACAGGTGAGGAAAACCTAGAAAACCTCACCCACCATCATCGAGACGGTAATGCATGGCGATTTTATAATCTGCATGTCATATCAACAGAAACTGAATTTCTATTAATACGGCACTCATCAAATCCTATACCGAACCATGCAATTTAATTAAAAATTTTTATGGTCTGGATTCGTAGGATTCGAAGCCCGTCTGTCCTCGACCAGAAACTTGCCTATAAATGAATATAAGCGCGTCAGACCGCTACACCACCACCGACCCAATGGTACGGTAAATCGTCACAACTGTCGTTATTGGTCCAATTCAAATCCCAGAATATTTCATGAAGTGCATACGCAACATATGGAAAAACTGAATGTTTGGGCTGGCATTTTTGGTAACCGTATAATGGGCCCCTTTTTTTTATCAGAAACTGTAACCGCCGAAATGTATCTGGAATTATTAGAAAACGTTATTTATCCAGCTTTACTAGAGTTGATTTGAGAATGACGATCAGTACATAGCAAACAACTTAATTTTCCAGCATTACGGTGCGCCACTGTTCGTCAGTATTTAGATCAAATGTTTCCAGTTTCCAGGATCGGAAGAAGAGGAAGTATTGAGTGGTCCCCACAGTCTCCGGATCTAAGCCCGTTGGATTTTTTTATGGAGTCACTTAAAAACTAAAATGTATGCCACCCAGCCAACATCACTAGAAAATCTGCGACAACGGATAATTGATGAATGTCATCAAATCACCCCATAGATGCTTCAAAATGTCAGAGAGCAATTTGAACAAAACTTCTATTATTACATGGAGGCTCAGGGTCAGCATTTCTAGCATTTACTTGAGTAACTGGCAAGCTTTTACAGAAAATAAAAATCGATAAAAGATCATGGCTAGGAAGACAGTGGCGATTTAAAATTCGAAAGTTATAATCTATGTAAAAATACCTTTAAAATACCAGTGG